AGTTCTACAATGGGTCACCCTCAATTTCGTCCAGAATCAACTGAGCTTGTTGGAGCAGTCTGTGAGATTTGTGAAAATTTTGGGTCCAACTTCTGTTGATGTCGTTCTGAATCTTGAACCAGCTTTGGGCAGCCCACTTCTACAAATCGTGATATTCGCCCAAGTTTTGTACTTTTCTTGATCTTTCTTTAAATTTGCAGCTTATTTTTAGTTTCTTATTTTTAGGAGCCTACGAACTACAATTCTCCCAAACCCAAGTACTTCTGCAGCTAAGGAAGCTATTGAAATCCCTTAGTTTGGTATCATTAGGCATTTGGGGTTCAATCCTCGTAAAAATTTGTAGATTGCAGTCACTTGAATACTTGGACTTGAGTTGTAATTTTCTATATGGTTCTATTCCTCAAACACTTTGAAGAATTGGTCAACTTCATATTGTTACATTGGATGGGAATTTCTTAAATGGAACATTTCCCGAATAATGGAACCATCTGTGATGTTTCTGTGTTTGCCTTGCTACTCTGTTTTTGGACATGATAATTGGTGGCTTCAAAGACTGTCGGCCTACTTACTATTGTTAGTCCTATATTTATTCATTTGTCTTTGATAAATGAGAAAGTGAAGATTCTGTTTAGATTTTTAATTTGGATTTCTGAATAATACTTCTAATCGTTAGGCTTTTGATGAGTTGCATGTCTCCCCAAGTCAGTGATGAGGGATATTGTTTCATATGTACATCGGAATTGACATGGAGCAGTAGTTTACTTAAATAATTATATGCTATTTTTGCCATCTGTTCTTCAAATTATGCATCAGTGAATGCATATTTCCTTTTTCGTTCGCTTTCTTCTCTCTGCAAACACTGTTGTTGTATGTAACTGCTGACCTGATGTGGCAGTGATGCTTAGGTTAGGAGAGTTCTATATGGACAAACCCATGGTCAGTCAGGATGGCTACAAGTTCTGATGAAATGTTGGGATGTCTTCCCTTCTCTTTATGAGCAGAGTGATGAACCTTTGTGATGTAGAGAACCTGTGGCAGTCATTCAGATTTAAGAATGATGCTGGTTCAGACTCAGACTCAGCCTCTCCTCACTTTTCTTGTGTGACTTTTCTCAAAATTTTGAATACGTTCTATACCTTTTTTTATCCTTTCTTTCAGTTACTGGCATTGTTCTCTCTATATGAAAACTCAGTCCAAGTAAAAAACAAGATAGATCAGAACATAACCAGAGATATGAAGTGGGGAAATTCTCATTCGAGAACTTGATTTGTAGGGTTATGGTTTGTCAATTCAGTTAATGGAATGGAATTACCACGCCATATCATTTTGTCAAACAAAATAGTGTGCATTGTGCTTATGTTATCTATCATGAAACAGGAAGTTATAAATACCAATTATTGAGTTATAAATACCAAAATACTGAGTAGCACCCTTACATTGTTATTATGTTGGTGTATTATATCTTCTGTTGATTTGATTCTCAAGAATTTCTTTATTTTCATTTTTATAGATATATCTCTGATTTTCTTTTTCTTGTTTTACTGTATTGCTTTCTTCCTCTCTTGTTCATGATCTGTGCAGTGTTTATAAGAATTGGTTATTGTCACAAATTAGTCGACCAGTTCATATTATTAGCTTATTTCTTTCTGGTTTTTATATGTTGAATTTTCTTGATGTTATGTTTCAAAACTTTCTGAAACTTTTTCTCTAATTGGTGAGATGCAAACTATTATGTAAAGTTTGTAATATGGCTAACAACTTCTCAAACACACTATTTGCAGTTATTTTTGTTGGCTGATTGAAACAATTTGATAACAAAGAGAGGATGCACAGGTAAGATTTCACTTGGATTCTCATACCTGTTTTGGTAGTCAATTTTCTTTAGGCTATTAAGAGCATGTTTGGCAAAGCTTAAATTTACATAAAGTAAACATTTTGGAGGTTCTTAAAAGTTTCTTCTCTTTTGGATTTTCACAGTCGGTACCTTAGCTGGCATTATTGGGGTTGATCTTACTGGCCGACTTCTTGAAGCCACTAAGGCCGCTCAGTTGGATCTCACTAGTCCGGATAGTTGGAGAGCAGTTTTTATCATCCCAGGGTCACTTTGTATCTTTA